TTGTTTATCATTTGACACTCTTATTCATTGAATCAATAGCTCTGTTTCAAGAAGATACCGACTATGGATAATAGCAGCCTTTTAACCATTTGTATTTCTGTCTTACATACATTATCTCTGACTACCAGGGCCCGAAGAGAAAGCCGGAAAGCCATGGTAGTTCAGCAAGATCTTTGTAAAATTTTGCTTTATATTGACGTAGACACCTACTTTTTCATAGGTTCAGCTGTGACAAGGGCAGCCTTATAACTCAAAAAGTAAACGGTTTGTTAACGTTTTAATCTCGGAAGTTGCTAGAATAAACACTAATTTCATAGTGAAGAGAATCTTTCTTTTGGGTAAAACGATAAAATTTGTTCTTTTCTCCGTGTTTTGCTTTATATCGGTGAATAAATTCACCCAGCGCCTTTTGACGGCTTCCATCTTATGATTGCTTGTTATGACATATATTGACATAATGAAAACATGCGTTCGCTGTTGTATATATAAAATAAAATAAAAAAGGAGTGTGCACTCAAGCAAAAATGCCTGTGTTGTTGGTGTGGTAGTCAATTTCTCTCGTCCAATTTAGTGACAAAATAAACCCACACGCAACGCGTATAATAAATAAAAACCTTGCCGCATTCACATGACTACTACCGGTACAATAGAAAACATCGAGGCGGCTAATAACCTTCACGAAATGGTTGAAACTCTTCATGAACGTCTAGCCATTTACCTATTGGATATCATCTCGAAATCGAAATTGCCGCACAATCAACGGCAATCTCTTCGAGGTGAAGTGCATCGGGCCGATGCTGACTTTCCGACTCTTTTGAACTTCATCATCCGAGATCACTGGGATGATTTACTCGTGCCGCACCAATGCTCAACTGAGTTGCGACGACTCAGTCAACGGGTTCTAATGAGCAACATTTGCGCGAAAATCGACACTCCATGCGAACTTCAAGCATTTGACGCTGCTGTCCACAACCATTACGTTGAGTCAGTGGCAAAACTAGCAACAATCATTGATGAACCGACTCTGGTCCAGTCTATTCGAGCCAAAACAAATGGGTCAACAAATGACAGAGAGGACTGGGCAACATTAAAGGAACAGGGAAGTACGCTTTTCAAAGAAGGAGATTATTCCGCAGCGATGAATCTATATACGCAAGCAATTAGTCTCTCACCTTCAAACCCGATGTTGTATTCGAATCGAGCTCTATGCGAGATAAACTTGAAAAGGTTCGAATTAGCTCGTGAAGATGCCGAGGATGCCATTGAACTCGACCGTTCAAGTGTTAAACATTTTCGCATCCTGTCGGAAGCTCTCCTTGGACTTGGCCTGCTCGATGAAGCGAAATTGGCTTGTGCAGCTGGTCTTCAATTGCAGCCACATGATTCTATCCTCATTCAGCGTGAACGTTTTATATCAGAGATAAGCAAGGTGACGTTGGATAAGCAGAACTCTGAACAGGTACCGCGAGACGAAGATATTTACGATATTACGGACATGCATACTTATCTACATATCCACGACTTGCAACAGAAAACTGATCAGCTCAAACAGACTGAAACACTTGAGAATTTCACCGTCATGCTGGAACTAACCAAACAGCAAGCTATGCTTGGCTCTGCCGAAGCGCTTTGTGCAATGGGTGCCTACTTCGACTCCATCGGCACATTGGATCGTACAAAGTATTTTTTTGAACAGGCGGCAGCACAACGACCGTATATTCGAGTCAATGGTGTTATTATGCCCAACAAAGGTGTGGCAACAGCAGAAAACAATTTGGGTGTCATGTATCTCAGCGGAAAAGGCGTCCCTGTCGATCGTGATAAAGCTATCGAGTACAGTCGTCGATCAGTTGAGCACGGATTTCCTACGGCCCATCAAAATCTTGGCTTTGCTCTGTTGAACGGGGCTAAAGATGATGAAACGCTGAAATTCGCCCGTGCGTCATTTGCCAAAGCTGCTGACCAGGGTATGGCTGCAGCTCAGTGGGCCTATGCCAATATGCTTGTTGATGGTCAAGGCGGCCCGTCGATATCATGTCAGCAAGTGATTATTATCGCCGAGCAGCAGATGCCAGCGACATTGATGCCGAGCTGGCACTTGCATGTATCATGCTCGAACATTTCAAGCGAAACACTGATGCTTTCAACTATTTGCAATCTGCAGCAAAAAAAGGTAATGCAGCATCACAACATTTACTCGGTGGACTCTACGCGTTCGGCCACGGATGTGAACGGGACGCCGAAGAAGCATTTTGCTGTTTCGAGCGTGCTAAATCGCAAGGTGTCAATAAGGAACAACTACGGACAACAACTGATATATTCTCCTTCGATCTCAATCGTTCGAGTTTAACGACAAAAATGGGCGCAGAGGTATGTCATTTCGAACACGCTCAACAGTTAACATCAGAGAAATTGACAATCACCGAACGCATTAATCGTTTCTTATTCAGCAAGCTCAATACTACGCCCACAAAAGTTCCTGATAATCGCAGCCAGTATGAAATAAACTATCCTTGGTTTTACAAGGATAACAACAGAGAACAAATTCAAAGACGAGCTCTTTCAGGTTCGGCGACGGCTGAGCGTGTCTGGGCTCGTCTTATCACACTTCAGGATGTTGTAGATGAACTACGAAAAAATCCATCCTCCCGTGAAGCCTTGGCTAAATATCGTGCTGCTCGACAAGACTGTGCACCTCGTCTGTTTGCTCCAAATGATATCGAAACGGTTGCTCAAACTCGCCTTGTCAATAATCCTAACGACGGCGATTCGTTGTTTGTTCTAGCTATCGGTGACAAAAAAAAGACCGGTCTTCATCCCATTAAATTTTTAGAGCGTTGCGTTAGTCTCCATCCCAACGATGCTGACTTTCATTTCTTGCTGGCCGATGCCTACCACAAAATTGGTCAATACGATCGTTGTCTGTCAGTGTGTACCCGTGCTGTTGAGCTGAGTTCGAACATCGATCACATGATTCTGCAGGTGGATACTGTTATTCGGCTCGAAAAGATTCGCCGTTCAGCACGTTTACTGAATGACGGAACTTACACGAAAGGGCCCACATATACCACTGACGAAATCATCGCTATGTGCGAGCGTATTTTGGAATTGATACCAACCGATCATGAACAAATCCCCGAAACACATTACAAACTGAGTGAAATGTACTTGCTACGTGGACATTACAATGCAGCACGCGACCACTGGCATGCAGCCCGTAAGAACGCTGCACCTGATGTTCGACTTCCGTGCTTCGAGCCAGTGGACCATGATCGCTATCTAAATGTGAATGCTTGGATGAAAGAAAATTATGGAAAAATATGGTCATCTGATTCGAACATGGTCGACGGTAGTACGGAGAAAATAAAGGTCTGTTGTCATTGTGGTAAAGTAAAACCATCGAAGCGATGCATATGTGGATTAGCTAGCTACTGCGATGCCAAGTGCCGGAAAGCCCATTGGTCTAAGCACAAGTTGATTGATGTACACAAGAAGAAAAACTGAGTAGATGCATATTTCGTTTGATGTATCTCATTCGTGAGCATTGTCATCTTACATTTGAATAAAGTCGAAGAACAAGCTTGTAGTAAAAGACAGGATGGAGTAAGTCAGCATAGCAGAAAGTCACGTGAAGCAGCCAAATCACTTTCTGTGACGCATCAGACATTACGTCGGAGCTGGACTTGATGGCTATACGTCTACTCGAGCAGTGAGATTGCCAACTTCAGGAGTGATTAAATATGAATCGCCGACTGGCTTTTCGATAATAATTAGAGACAGCACCTATGGTGGTGACTTAGGCTTAACTGCCAGTGCGCTTTTTCATACTTTCCTAATAAATGCCTGTGTTAGACATCAGAAGAAAGAATGAGGGCGGATAAGGCCATTTTCTAATCAGAACGGATTGATGATTTTTCTGTTGGAATCAAGTCTGGGCTAGATCCCGATCATATTTTATGCGTCAGTTTCCCAAAAGCGGACGTCAATATATTTGGTGCCTGGGATCTCCTACGCGTTGTATGGAAAAACCTTTTTAACTGTGGCTCCTTCAAATGCATGTATACGTATTGAGTCGAGTGTGCTGATCACGAATTTCACCATAAGAATGCATGAAACCAGCATCGATTGTAAAAATAATAATTACTTGTTCACGTCAAAATATTCCTCTCCGCGGTCACAGATACGAAACAATAGATGATGTAAGAAAAACTATAAATGTAATTAATTCTCATTCTGGTTCAAATTTTACTGCATTGTTAAAACAAGGTATCGATTCGGGCGATGAAATTCTTCGTGAACATGTTGAACGTGGACCAAAAAATGCATTCTACACAACTCTGTTAGTTCAGAATGAAATTATTGACTGTATACACAAATATATTTTGAACGAAATTTTGCATCGAGTAGAAAATTGTTTGTTTTCTATCATTGTTGATGAAACAACAGCCGAACAATTAAGTCTTTCA